TCACGGCTGGAGGCACAAGGAATGAGCTTCACACTTTGTACCCATGTGCATGGGCATTCGAACCCTCGAGCTAGATTTTCGAAGCTCTTCTGGTGTTAAAACGGTCTTAAGTGTCATACATTAACATTAACTTACGGCTATACCTTAGCTCTAGGGAGCCTCGAAAATCTAGGCCCTGGTCTTAGGCGTGACGAGCCAAAGCTTTTTATAAAATCACCAGGCTATACAACGTTAACACCGTCCCGATGAACGTTAAATGCTTGCAGTGAACGTTTATCAAACATGGCAGTTTTAATGTGGGTACATTTACACCTCCCCTTCTTGATTTCGGAGTTTTGGGATATTCTGAAGTTAAAGGGGGACTCCGTTGAGAGTGAGTGAATATGGCTTTACGCCGCATTTGGCAGTGAGTGTGTGAGTGTGTTTAGGTTTACGCCACACTCAGCAATATTCCAGCTATATGGCGGCGGTCTGTAAATAATGGAGTCTGGACCAGACAATCCAGTGATCAACAGCTGGAGCATCGATCTGCGCAATTGGGAACCGGTGACATGTGTCAACCAAGTCAGCGAGCCTGACCACCCGATCCCGTTAGTCGCCTCTTACGACAAGCATGGGTTACTGAAGATCAATATTCTAACCCTGACCTTCACGGATCTATTTTGCAATGAGATTCTGTGTCTATCTGAAATTGTAAAATCTTCAGCAATATTCCAGCTATATGTGGCGTCGGTCTGTAAATAATCAAGTCAGGGCCAGACATTCCAGTGATCGACAGCATGAACATCGATGGTGAAACCAGGGATGGAAACCTAGAAACGCTGGATCCGCCTAAGGGTCGCAACACTGCACTGAGAATTGTGGCACTTTTCCATTGGGCTTTTCCGGGCTTATGCTGACACTGTAATACGACTGTAGGATTTAGGTCAGTGAGTGTGTTTGGTTTTACGCCGCTTTTTAGCAATATTCCACCAGAAATGGGCATTACACAATGTGTCCATGTGGGGAATCGAACCCGGGTCTTCGGCATGACATATGTTACAGGTTTATTGCTATTTAAATGGGTTTATTTGTTATTAATTATACATGTACATTATGAATTATATATATTCAGAGAGTAAGCGTTAGTCTAATATTATACCCTGCAAATCAAGACATGTTCAAACTCAAGTTCCAACAAGTTTCAAGATCTAGCAGCAGATTCTGTAAGTGCCTTCCATTATTAATTAGCGTGTAATGTTATCGCTTTGCTTTGACTGGTTTGTCCGGTATTCTCTGTGCACGCACAACCAATACGGCGTCCTCGAATCAATCTAGATGTCTAATGAAATCATCAATAGATAATGACTTTGTTGGGATACTTTAGCCACGAACACGTCTGGTTTCTTCTGCCATGTGTCTGAGCTCCTAAAGGAAATGCTTGTTGGCATCTGGGTGATCCCGCGTTCATTAAACAGTCAAGGATTGATATCGCAATAAGCAAACACTCGATTGAAACATCGAGTTTATATGTTCAGATAAATTGAGGATCTCGTCGCCAAATACACATAACAATGACAAATGAAATGTTTGTAGGTATGCAAAGCCATCGTCCATAATGGGACTAATTAGAATTTAAAGTACAGTCCTAAGTTTGAAGTCACTCAGGTAACTATGCTGCAGTCGACGTTCCTCGCCTGCTCGAGCGCCAACCTCCACACCCTTAATTTACATTTACCGGGATCACATCGTGTACTCATCCCACCCGAGACCCGTGAAGATAGGGGTTAGAATTGATCTTCAGCAACCCATGCTAACGGGATCGGGTGGTCATGCTCACTGACTTGGTTGACACGTCATGGTATCCGAATTGCGTAGATTGATACTCATGCTGTTAATCACTGGATTGTCTGGTCCAGACTCCATTATTTCCAGACTGCCGCCATATAGCTGGAATATTGCTGAGTGCGGCGTTAACCAGCACTCACTCACTAATTAGAATAAAAACTGGAGTCTCTAAGTTTGAAATAACCCAGTTAACTATGCTGCAGTCGACGTTCCTCGCCTGCTCGAGCGTCAGCCTCCACACCTGCAAAGTATATTTAGCGGATCACCTGTATTGGCTGTCACACTGATTCAGGAAAAAAATCATTATTTAGCTGCCTTTTCAACTGACATTGTTCTTTCAGTGAGAATGCTGTAAATTCAAATAAGCCAACACAAAATGCACACGTGGCTTTCCTATGAACGATTTCTTGACCATTTTTATATTGGTGAAGAAAATTCAAGATGGGAAATCTTCGGGGTGACTAGAGAAAGATTTAACTACTAGGCTACCCCACAAGTTAAACGGACCCTGATCTAGAGCGATCCAGCCCCTGCTCCCTCGACCGTGATGGACACGGGGACTGGGCAGCTGTCCACCTTGGCAGAATTTCCTCAACCTAAAAACATTAAAAACGGTTGATGCCCATCAGATACCGTTACTTGCAAATACCCCCGGTAATTCTTGTCTGATTGTAATAAAGTATCCCAGCAGTGTAGGCATTTTTCGGATTCCTAAGTCAACCCCAAAGTTTTTTAGGCAATTAAAATTTCATGCAATACAGCGATTGATTTAACCCATGTTTGGTGGTATAAACCTACACCTGTTTATTTGTCATCATTCACTTAATGGTCAGTTAATGATCTGTTTGATTGGCATTTAGAAGTTGGTGACTAATAAGAAAGTAAGAAAGTTTATGGATAACAACTATTATATTATATATGATGCGACGTTTAGGTATGGATTCTTATACCGTTGTCAAGCAAGAGTGAAGTACTACAGCACAGAACAGACTTATATACATGAACAGGGATTAAGTAATAACAACATGTAGGACTGAATCAGGGGGATTAACAACAACAACAAGGCACGGTGGCAATAATGTAGTGACAATAGGAAGCCAATGGTGGTGGAGGTAAAAACAAAATATACATGCTGATGAGATTAATTAACAATGATAGCTGAGGTGCTCTAATCTGTTGTTTTTATCAGATCATTGTATGCAGAAGGGATGAGATATCCCTGGTCTCTGTTGATTGAGGGCTGTTAAATCAACTGTGACTGTGGCGAGGCCTATGTAGGCGAAACCTCCCGGCCCATAAATATCAGAATCAAAGAACACTTATCATCTACCACTAAATCTGACAGAAACTCGGCAATATCAGACCACATCATCAACTGTCCCAATCACAACATAATTTGGGACAATGTGGAGATATTATCAAAAAACCATCAGGACTTCACCAAAAGGAAACTTGCAGAAGTAGTTCAAATCCGGAGACACAAGCCCTCAATCAACAGAGACCAGGGATATCTCATCCCTTCTGCATACAATGATCTGATAAAAACAACAGATTAGAGCACCTCAGCTATCATTGTTAATTAATCTCATCAGCATGTATATTTTGTTTTTACCTCCACCACCATTGGCTTCCTATTGTCACTACATTATTGCCACCGTGCCTTGTTGTTATTGTTAATCCCCCTGATTCATACCTACATGTTGTTATTACTTAATCCCTGTTCATGTATATAAGTCTGTGCTGTGCTGTAGGACTTCACTCTTGCTTGACAACGGTATAAGAATCCATACCTAAACGTCGCATCATATATAATAAAGAAGTTGTTATCCATAAACTTTTCTTACTTTCTTGTCAGTAAATGATTTTATAACAGGTGTAATTAGTGGTAACACCACTTAGATTACCCGACAAAGGTTCCCATTTCTCGGGTCTGGAGCAAATACTCAACATTATGAATTACGGTCTGATGTGACACATATATATTACATGTTATGTCAGGGTATGAAACTCCAGACAAATTCAGTCGGACCACAGGGTGGTTAGATGTAAAACTTGCCAGTCCAGACCAAAACTTACCCGCCCGCAAATAATTTAGGTTTGACAAGCGACGTAGTTTATCATCCAATTGGAATTCATCATTTATTTTTACGAGTGAATTAATAATGATTTATTATCCTGAAATATGATGAATATCTTCATATACATGTCTAAATTTTAACCCGACAGTCGGGCAGGTGAATTTGAGAATCTGGCAGTCCGTGTTGAAAATAACTCGTCCCGGGCGGTTGGGCAGGCAGGTATTTCGAACGCTGGTTATGTAATGTGGAAGTGGAAGCCGAGTTAAAAACAAACAAACATCGATCGCTTTTAATCAGAGCATGATCAGTCTATTGTGATGTTTTTAGCACTTTGGATTTTCTTAATCATGTTTAGTAAATTCTTTAAATAAATGAAAAGATTTTTCAGCCAGTTTGTCAAATCACCAAAATATCTCGACATTTATCAAATTAAACCGAGTGTCATATTTTATAAAAGTTCTACAATGAATGAATGAAAACTAAATGCAAAAACCGTAACCAACAGAAGTTGTGCGAACAATATCAGGCAATTACCAAAATATCTATCCGTCAATATCCTAATATAGGAAACAAATACATCTGCACCCGACAGAGAAATGTGTTCCATGACACATGTTCTTTTAACAAAATGAAGAGAAATAGGGTTTCGTGGCGTATTCGTTTCTTAGCAGCCATTGGTCACGTGAGTTTGTTCCAGGCGTTTCCCTCCGTGACGTCTCGGTGCTCAGCTGAGATAGTACACGTGACAATGTCCACGAGCCTTCGACAATGAACAATCAATCAACGTTTTCCCAGTTAATTATATGAAAAAAGTATGTTTTTTATAGATTCACTTCACGCCAAGATATGGGGAGTTCCGTCTACTTTTGTAAACCACCACACGCACGCACACTAAAAACAAATTGACGAAAGCCTGTGCCAGTTTAATCAATCGGTTACTCCTTCAAATTTTCAGTTTAGTCATCGGTCATAACGCCAGTTGTACTCACAAACATTCTTCGGTATAGGGGCGAGAGGGGTAGCCCAGTGGTTAAAGCGTTCGCTCCTAACGCCGAAGACCCGGGTTTGATTCCCCCCATGGGTACAATGTGCGAAGCCCATTTCTGGTGTCCCCCGCCGTGATATTGCTGGAATATTGCTTAAAGCGGCGTAAAACCAAACTCACTCACTCTTCGGTATAATGGGTAACACTACGGTTATAACGAAGTCAAAGGGACCACGAAGTTTAGCTCGTAATGCATAAGGGGCGGCGGGGTAGCCTAGTGGTTAAAGCGTTGGCTTGTCATGCGGCTCGCTGATGTGGTTGACGCATGTCATCGTATCCCAGTTGCGTAGATCGATGCCCATGCTGCTGATCACTGGATTATCTGGCCCAGAGTCGATTCTTTACAGACCGTGGCCATGTAGATGGAATATTGCTGAGTGCGGCGTAAAACTTACCTCACTCACGCAACAGTCGATCGTACGCGACGGTATACAATAACCATATGTAATGGCAAAAAGGGGTTTTGTTTACAGTCTATAATAAAATCAAATATGAAATCTTAATAAAATACTGACTGACTGAGTTTGGTTTTACGCCGCTTTTAGCAATATTCCAGCAACATCACGGCGGGGGACACCAGAAACGGGCTTCACACATTGTACCCATGTGGGCATTCGAACCCGGGTCTTCGGCGTGACGAGCCAACGCTTTAACCACTAGGCTACCCCACCGCCCCTTTAATAAAATAGGTCAGTTGATATGAAATGATGAAATAGCATGCTATACAACACAAGAATGGGATCTAAATCAATCCCAGTCATCGCATCATCCATGCATCAGAAATCCGAAAATGCTTACTGCATGCAAGGATACTATCTTTTAAACTGAAAGTATTTATATAACCATCGTTCTTTTTGTCTGTTTAATTTGAAGAAATAAATTATCGCCTTTGGTGTATCGAAATCGCCATATATCATGGGCAACCAAACAGAAATGTGCACGTACAGACACTGTTTCCAAGTTTATGGCGGCTGTCCTTACAGACGGTAGCCCAGTCTCTTGCCATGCGCAGTTGCGTTAGCCAGCGAGTCCTTTCGTCCCAGGTGGCAGCCTGGTTCCATGGTCTAGTGTCGAAGCGTAGCGCAGCAGATCACGGAAACCAGGCTGGAGAGACGGAAGAAGCCAGAGATGAGCGTCCCTTTAAGTAACATACATGCATTGTTTCATGATCAATATATTACTGTCTGACGTTCTGAAAAACCCGATAAGATATGGATTTCCCGAAGTGTGGGTGTTTCCGCGGCCATATATTGCTGCAAATCAGCGGTACTACATCCTAAGTGGGGATATACACTCAAACATACTTTTTATAGGTAACTTGTGAAGGTACTTCACCGAATGAAAATATCATGATTTCAAGAATCACATGGCACAGTAAGTATTATCCTTGTATGAGACCGTATTTGCCATATGGGATAAGAAATATGTATTATGCTTAGCTGAATTGTGGTTTTATTCACAATTTTATTTCTCTTTTGGGTCTTGTAATTATTGAGACATGTAACCGATCCCAAAGACCGATTTTGATGCAGGTGTGCGCGTTAGATAGATACATGTATACACAGCTGCCCAGTTTGTCTAAGGGCGAGTCTGAAAGTCTTCAATGTTGTTGGAAACATATATTTCATTGGAAAAGGGTCCCGGTCAGATACGGGTGTTTCAGAAAATCTAGATTAATCATTCGGTGAGTGACTGGGTTTAGTGTTGGCGGCGGTCTGTAAATAATCGAGTCTGGACCAGACAATCCAGTGATCAACAGCCTGAACATCGATCTACACAACTGGGATACGATGACATGCGGCGGTCTGTAAATAATCGAGTCTGGACCAGACAATCCAGTGATCAACAGCCTGAACATCGATCTACACAACTGGGATACGATGACATGTGTCAACTAAGTCAGCGAGCCTGACCACCCGATTCCGGAGTCATTGGTTACTGGAGATCATTTCTAACCCGGGTCAATCGGGCTAGAGAGCACTGAGGCTGACCGGAAGGGAAAACAAAATGGTCCTGAGACTGTGAGACACACAAACTACTGCCCAGCATACAATGTAAGACTCAAGATTTGGTCAGGAATGTGTGGAATATAGAGTTAGTATCATTTTACAATTAAGTGTTCCATGGTACCGCTTAAACCTCTTAATTGCATTTCCGTCCTGTTAGCATGCTGTTATAATGTATTATTTGAACTGTATATATAAGAGTTCTTTTAATATTCAACATATAACACCCTGTCCGAAATCTGATCCACCAGAGCTGCTCGTTAATTTGAACATAAAGCACAAAAGCATACCACGTGTGACTCTCTCTCTACTCGTTCACGTGCAGTGATTAGAATACTTACGAATTGCACCATCATGTGTACGTGACATGATGAAATACACCTAAGCCTGTGTTACCAAATTAAACCCCAAAAAATAAACAAAAACCAAAAACTCAAACCAATACATCAATGATATGTACACACAAGATCTTGAGCTTGAAAGCAAATAATTACATAGAATATGTTGCTCATCTTAACTCACATAATACAGTGAACTACACCAAAACATTTCAGTGATATGGTCTAGAACGTTTACAATAGACAGGACCATGAGACCACCAGCGTTTGTTTGACATTTGCGCCGTGTGTTTTGAGCTAGTTATACGCAGAACATTATTAGTTTGACCTTCACCTTGATAAGAATTTGATACTTGTCACTTGACAAAGAATTGTATTCAAAGGTGAAACTGTATTGGTTGCTAAACTATACGAATCGTTAACTGATATTATTGGTGTATGTATATAAATATTACTTCGCATTTTTCGCAAAAGGTGATCAAAGTTAAACTTCGGTTAGAGACTAAAAGGTCATAACCTCGTTTGGGAAACTGTATCACGAATCGTCTGCGCATGTTCAGGAATCTGGACAGGAAGATAAGTTCATGAACAGTGGTTTATGTGCCAAAATTCATGTTGGGAACCTCTGGAATACTCTTTCATTAATAGAAGGGATATAGTAAAACAGAAATGATGCCATAGCCGAAGCCAGCACCCTTTTTTCAGTGAGGTGAGAATCGGGTGTCCGCATTTTCACACGAGAGCACTTTGTCAAATTCGGCCTATTTCTGCTCAGAGCTTTCAGTGCAGTGACGGTCATTTGCACTCTATTGTTTGTTTACAAAACCTTTCGTAAATTTTCGCTAGATTTAAGTATCAGCAGTCATCACTTTATTCCCTAATGTATTACAGGTGAATTTTTATTTCACAAGTTAACGATTTGCTTCGTTCATGTCAGCTGTTTCTCAAAGCGGATGTAGATCATTCTATTTTTGTCAGTTCGCACATGCAGACGATGTCACTCATTTCCTCGTAAGAGGTCAAACATTTAGGGCACATTGACCTGTCCCTCATGAAGTACATCACATATTGACGTGTTCTCTTCTTAATATTTTCTGGATACTTCGAAGAATCGCTTAGCAATTGGAAAAAAATGGTCTCAATTAACCCTCACCTCACGAGAAAACGATATGCTAGACCGGTGCGACTCAACATGTTTAGACCACAGCTGTCAGTGTTTGATTTAGCTTACTCTTTTGAGTGTGTACAAAATTGTAAGAATGTTCTTATTAGACTTTCATTCCGTGGAATTGAGTGTTTTGTATTTTTAATACAGGTCGTTCACTCACCTACTTGATAATGATATGAAATGGAGTTCTTGACATTCACATGTTAGAACACATGACTGAATGGATTAGACATAATCAGTATGTGTCCACACATGTGCCAAAACCCGGTTGTCAAACTATTGAGGCAAATTATTCACCACATTCATTTTGATTGTTTCATTTCATGCACACAGTATGTGTAGTGTAAGGACAACTCCTGTTTGATTGCCAAGTAGAATGAAGATGTATGGCAAAAAAGGTGTCAGCACAAGTTCTATACACTTAACCAAAATCAAATTTTTTTAATAAATTGTCGTAATAAATCATTAAAAGCAACTGAATTTTTTCAAATACTTTTCCAGAACAATATGTATTTCTTATGCTGTAGCTTGATCCTACTTTTCTGTTGTATTATCTATGCATTTCAACATCTTCAGTATAAAGTATTTAGTATAAAATGTCTTTGAATTCGCTGCAAACAAATGACATGAAGGCATTATCATGATTCCACATATTTGTGAAGACATTCTCTCATATCTTTACCACATTTGATAAATACCTTGGCACATCTTGAATGACAGTCAGTCAATGACCTAAAATTAATTGACATGAAACCAAGAGTGTGCTACAGAAATTTGTGAAACTTCCCAAATTAGAATATAACAGGAAGAACTGACATGGTGAACAAAGCCATTCTTCCATATTATTTAATGTATTTAGGATAGAAATCTGTTTGTCACTGGCATAGTCTGACCATCATTAATAAGGTTTGTTTCGGCCAATAGGACCCAGTTGTGTAAGTAGCATAGATTTATTTTCATTAAGTGATGACAGAGAGGTGCAAATTATGAGTTTAGTTTCACTTTACATTATAAGCTACATACATATTGTTAAATAGAATTATAGATGCTGAAAGTCTGCTTTGCAGGATCACCTTAGTTTCTCAAAACAAACAATGCAGTTATGTTCTATAAGGTGGTATTTTGTCTATCATCTTCTGAAGTGGAAGGTTTCAAATTCTCACTTTTAGCACTTGTTAAATGAAATGGTCTTGTGCCATTTATGGCTTGCATACTACTCATGAGCATGTTTATGTTTTACATGTAGCAGTAGTGGTTTTAATTACAGGTAGGAACATATATTATTTGTAATATTTATATGGTTATAATGTGGGTCAATATTTAACTGAAACTCTTAATTCAATAAGATGCATTGTGATCCTAAACTATGGACATCTTAGCTTCTGTAATGATTCACTTTCTTGACATATGAATCTTAGAATTACAGCCCCTGTGCAATTGCTGGCTTGGAGTAGGTGCCCAGCCTCCTTCAAAATTCATAATGGCCTACTACAAGCCTTAAACTATTCAATTGTACTTATGACAAAAAGATTTTGGACTATTGTTCTGAACAATGCTGAAATTCTGTTTCAAATTGGGGACAGACTTCTGCCTGTAAACCCCCATAAATATCATTCTTGACAAATCTTATCATCTTAATATACATTCCTCATCTGATAAGGATAAGTTTTAACATTTTTCTTTAATTGTATCTGAACATAGACGTGTCCAACTTCTAAAAATGCCACTCAAAGAAATTTAGGGGGATACGGGCTGAAGCCGTACCCCAAACAGATACCGGTAGTTCATGTGAATATGAAAATCATTTCAAGGAAGACAAGAGGCGGTGGGGTATCCTTGTGGTTATAGTGTTCGCTCATCATGCCAAAGACCCAGGTTCGACTCCCCACATGGGTACTATGTAGGATGCCCATTTCTGATGTCCCCCTCCGTGATATTGCTGGAATATTGTTAAAAGCAGCGTAAAACCTCACTCACTCACCCCTTGGTTCCTTGGACTGGTCTTACTGAATTATTTTTTTAAATCCTGAAGCTGTAATAATACCAAGAGTCAACCCAATATGTCAGTTGATAAGGCTCAGTGATGTGGTTGATAATGTGTAAACAAATATTACAAATGTCAGTGAGTGCAGGGTTAAACAACACACTGCAAATTCATGTCATAATAGTCAGATACAATTAGGGTTGTAACGATGCATCAAACTATCGATGGATGCAGTTGCTGATAGCAATTAGTCGATGGTAGAAACGAAAAACTATCGATAGTTTAGTAATTGACTTCCGTCGACAAGTATTCATGTTGTTCTGTATTTTTTATTGTTTGGGTGCAGACTTGCAGCTTCACTGAGTTTGTTTTAACTGTCTACTTGATCGAAGTTTCAATTTCTTGTCAGTTACTAAAAGAGACTGAAACTACTTCAACTTGTTTTTATTTCATATAAACTATACATTCATTTGGGAAATGACTTCAAATGAGACAATTCAATGAGAAAAACTATTGCAATAGTTGGTCGCAATAGACTATCACAATCGCGATAGTGTGTTTCAATAGACTATTGCTATCACAATAGTTGTTTCCCCCTCAATAGTCCTCCTAGATACAATACATGGTCATATTTCCATGATTACATGAAAACTGTACACAAAACCAGAAGAGTTCTTATCTTAAGACATCGTAACTGAATGCTGTTGATCACAAAGTGTGTCTCAGTTTATTAACAATGCCATGAGGATTGTTGTGTATTGCATATTCATATAATGATAAATGCTGAAGGAAAAGAAACATCAGCTTATTTCACACTTTATAGTTTTACTTCATCACCTCAGATGGTCAAAGACCAACCAAACTTTTGTTACAACCTCTCTCATTTGTTACAAGAAGTCTCTCTATTTATCAGCTAAATGTTTTCTTTCTGTAAGCAACGATTAAACAGTCACATATTTTTCCAGGATCTAGGTGCCAGATTAGGAACAGAATATATTTTTCTGCGTTGACATCCTTTATTTTTTTAAATTCAAAGATAAACAATCATTGTATTTTGAGTGAGTGAGTTTAGTTCTATGCAGCACCCAGCAATATTCCAGCTATATGGTGGCAGTCTGTAAATAATCGGATCTGGACCAGACAATCCAGGGATCAACAGCATGAACATCAATCTACGTAATTGGGATACGATAACATGTGTCAACCCAGTCAGCGAGCCTGACCACCCAATCCCGTTACTCTCCTCTTGCGACAAGCATGGGTTACTGAAGATCAATTCTAACCCGGATCTTCACGGGTCTTATATTTTGAGAATATATATAATTTGCATGTGCACATTCACGCACACAAAGACCCTTGAAGGTCCGGGTTAGAATTGATCTTCAGTAACCCATGCATGTCATAAGAGGCAACTAATGGGATCAGGTGGTCAGGCCTGCTGACTTGGTTGACACATGTCATCGTATCCCATTTGCGTTGATCGATGTTCAAGCTGTTGATCACTGGATTGTCTGGTCCAGACTTTATTATATACAGACCGCCGCCATATAGCTGTAGTATTGCTTAGTGCCGCGTAAAACTAAACTCAGTCAATCAATCATGCACACAACATTTGTTTTTGAAATTCTAATTTGGAAATTGGCCTCTGAGCAAATGTTGAAAAATCTCAGTCTGTTGTATTGTCAGTATTGTATCAGTTAATTCATAGACTTTGCTTGCTGTCTCTTATGCCCAAGGGTGCTCAGATTTTCCTGATTTCAGTGCCTGTTCCAGACACAGCAACAATTTCTGTCTTTTTCTCTGTTTTTTTATTTTATTTTGTTCCCTTGTGTATCGAATTGTAAAATGGGCCAAATATATTAAACAGACTTTAAGCGGATGGTTTAGCCTAATGATGAAAGCATGTTTGTGTCACACCACATGCCTGGGTTTGATTCCCAACATGTGAAGCCTAAGTTCTTCTGTCCCCTGTCTTATATATTTTGGAATATTTCTAAAAACAGTGTAAAACCATACACACTCAGTACAGACATTGTGTATTGTCAGTGCCCTAGGTGACCTCAGAAGTTTAATGCATAACAGAGTGAAGTACATTTGACAAATTGCCAGAACAAGGGTTTGTTATTTTTCCCCGACCAGCATGTACAGTAAAC